GTGTTAATAAATTTTCAATACTAAAAAATTTTGTGATAGCTTTAAAATATATTTTCATTTTTAATTGTAAAATTTAAGAGCATTAAAAACAGTGTAGATCAAGTAGATCTATGAAAACTTGAAAATTGATCGTCAAAAATGCATTACAATTGGCACTAATTCTAAAACTTGAAATCCATTTTTTCTCATGTGCATGCATCTTGATGTCGAGATGATAAATTTGAGGATATTGAGAATCAAAACAATCTCTTTCAGTGAAAATTTTGAGGTGGGCTCTAATTTGCTTGTTTAGAGCATCAACTCTATATAAACTTTATTCTTATTTAAATATTATTTAAAAGTTAGTAAAATATTATATATTAAATATTATTCAAATAATAATACTATTTGGGGTGGGGTCTAGGTCACCCGAATAATGTTCGGGTCCAATATTTGGACCCAAACCCGACCCACCAAGTCCATTTTTTGAACCCATACCCGGACCTAGATCGGGTCATGACGCCGGGTCCAGGTCCATTGCAACACCTAATTTTATTAAGATCTAAATTAGATGATTATAATAAAAGTAATAGAATTTACATAAAATAATATTGGGGAGATGAATTGTTCATTTTCAATAATGCATGCCATTTGTTTGGGGAGTGGTTGATGATTTGCAACGATATGTCCTATGCTCGATTCCAACCAAGGGTAGAGGCCCTCTCCCCATTGACTCACCTCCTCCTCCCCCCCTCCCAAAAAGAAAAAAAAAATTCAAATTTGATTTTAAAATATCATTTTTTATTTTATGCCCAAATAAATCGATATTTTTTGGAGCCCTACTTATTTTTGTAGCTATAAACCCGTTATGATTAGTTATTCACACAAATCAAAGGTGGTGAGAGAAGGCACAATTATATTTCAAAGTATTCTAAATGATTATGTAGCAATTTTATTGGAGTAATATCGACACACGTTCCCCATCATCAACAATGTGCAATGGAGGGCACATTGTTAATTCTGTAACACTCACCATACACAAGTGTGTGCGTGTGTGTCACACACACACACACACATATATATCGGTGCAGTTTATATAAAGCTTAGGCTCTAAACAATCAAATTAGAGCCTATCTTCAAATAGTCTCTTGTAATGTGGTTTCAATATCGTAAATCTTTATGATAGACTTAAAATATATTTTTATATTTATTTATAAAGTTTAAAGCTTCAAAAATAGTAGAAATCGATAGATCTATGAAAACTTGAAAATCTTGAAAATTGATGGTCCAAAAATGTATTACAAAATATATCGTTTCCAAAACTTGAAATCCATTTTTTTTTTGTACATATATCTTGATGTCGAGATGATCAATTTGAAAGTATTTGGGCATCAAACACCAGCTTTTAGTGGATATTTTGTGGTAGGCTCA